CCACACGGCACGGGTGGTCAGAGCTGCTTTCCTGGGCACACCTCTGCTGGGCCCTTCGGGGGCTCCTTCCTGCAGCAGAGTGAGCAGGCCCAGAGGCACCTCTGGCATCAGCACGTGACCTCTCCTTGTCCACCTGTGGGTTCTAGATCTTTCCAGCGACCGCCTCTACTGGGTCGACTCGAAGCTCCACTCCATCTCCAGCATCGACCTCACTGGGGGGCACCGGAAGACAATTTTGGAGGACAAGAAGCGGCTGGCGCACCCCTTCTCCTTGGCCATCTTTGAGGTGGGGGCTGGGAGCACCTGGGTGCTCCTCTGGGGTTTGAGGGAATTCCCAGCCAAGTGCTGTCTACTGAGGCGTGAGTGCTCATACCAACAGGTCAGGTGACATTGTCTAGTTCAGTGGTTCTCAACCTTTGGGCCCTTTAAGTACAGTTCCTCATGTGGTGATCCCCAACCATAAAATTATTTTCGTTGCTACTTCATAACTGTAATGATGCTGCTGTTATGAATCGTCATGTAAATATCTGATTTGCAGGATGGTCTTAGGCGACCCCTGTGAAAGGGTCGTTCGACCGCCAAAGGGGTCACGACCCACAGGTTGAGAACCGCTGGTCTAGTTCATTCAAGCCGAGACTAACTCAGAAAACTGCCCTCCACTATGAAGAGGGCTGAGACCTCTCCAACCGCTGTTGCGGGTTATTGTCGCCAAAAGCATCCTCAAAGGCCTGAAGCAGCAGCTCTCACTCCGAGGCCATTTGCTGTCCAGAGCACGTGGGAATGCCCGGGGCTTGGGCGAGGGCTGCCGTGCGCCCAGCGGGGGAAGGCCGGGATGCTGCTAGACAGCCTGCAGGAGGAGCCGGCACGAAGGGCTGTTGGCCCCACATAGCACCCCGGTGGGGGGATTCTGCTCTGAAGAAATGGAGTTCTGTTGGTAGACCCTGATTCATAATAGCCAAGAGGGGAGAGCAGCGGGTGTCTGTCTGGGGTGAATGGATGAGCACCGTGTGGTCCCCCCATACGGGGGAATATCATTAAGCCTTAACAAAGGAGGGAATGGTGACAGCGGCCACAACATGGACGAACCTGGAGGACACTGTGCTGAGTGAAATAAGCCAGTCACAGAAGGACGAATATTGCCCGGTTCCACTCACAGGAGGTCCCTAACGAGTCAGATTCAGAGAGGCAGGAAGCAGATGGGGAGCCAGGGGCTGCGTGTTTACTGAATTAAGTGTTTAAAGAATTTCCGTGTGGGACGATGAGGAAGTCTGGGGATGGATAGTGGTGATGTCTGCACAACACAGTGACTGTATTCAATGCCATGGAACTGGACACAAAAAACGATTAAGATGGTATATTTCACGTCATGTGTATTTTACCGCAATTAACCTTTATTTTCAAAAGAAGAAATGATGCTGCCACCTAGAACTGCTTCTTCCCAGAAAACCTCCACGGTTCAGGGGCCGGGAAGACAGTGGTCCGCCCATCCCAGTGCCTAATGGGGTCTGTCATCTTCCTCACTGCCCTTGCAGGATAAAGTATTTTGGACGGATATCATCAACGAAGCCATTTACAGTGCCAACCGCCATACGGGGTCCGACATTAGTCTGATGGCAGAAAACCTGCTGTCCCCGGAGGACATTGTCCTTTCCCACCGCCTCACACAGCCGAAAGGTGAAGACGGGGCGCCCCCCTCTCCCGCTTCCCTGGTAGAGCTCTGGAGTTTTCTAGAATTTTCTGACCTCATTCTTGCCCTGACTCCCTGCCTTCTGCACCTCAGGGATAAACTGGTGTGAGACAACTTTCTACTCCTACGGCGGCTGCCAGTACCTGTGTCTCCCGGCCCCACAGATCAATTCCTACTCACCCAAGTTCACCTGTGCCTGCCCTGATGGCATGTTGCTGGCCGAGGACAGGAGGAGGTGCCGCCCAGGTAGGGGACGCCAGCCCGCCTGGCACAAGTTCTGCTTCTGCCACCCTCTCGGCTCAGCCTGAGCCTCTCTTTCCCCATCTGTCAAATGGGAGAGCGAAGCCCCAGGAGGCCGTTGTAAGGACTCCTTAGCTGGGGGAACCGCAGTCTGCCTTTCTTAAATATTGGGCGTACCGGCGCTGCGCTGGGCACTTAGACTCAGTTTACCTTTGATGTCTAGTCCACTCTCTCCCAGCTCTGTCGTGGGCTATGCCTATGTGCATGTAAGTTCCCTGCTTACTCTCCCCGAATCCTACCCCCACCTCCACCCCCTCCCCCGCCTTCCCTCTGAGATTCATCAGTCTGTTCCATGCTTCTGTCTCTGCATCTATTTTGTCCATCAGTTCATTTTGTTCATTAGATTCCACATAGGAGTGAGATCATGTGACACTTGACTTTCTCCGACTGGCTTATTTTGCTTAGCATAATACTCTCCAGGTCCAGGAGGGAACTGATTTTATTTATTTTATTTTTTAAATCACTTTATTTATTTTTTTAAAATCTTTATTGTTGAAAGTATTACATGTGTCACCTTTTTTCCACCATCGACCCCCGCCAGCCTGCCCCTGCCCCCGACTCCCCACCCAGGCCCTCACCACCCTTTTGTCTGTGCCCATGGGTTATGCATACAGTATATGCATACAGGTCTTTGGCTAATTAGGGGAGTTGGCTGCTGTTAGAGCCATGTCCCTTTTCAATGTCTTTTTATGTTGCTAAAACAATTGATGATTTCATTTCAAACACTAGTATTTTTCTGAAGTCTTTTGGTACGTCCACTCTTGCCTCCCTTAACAGTCCAGTGTTAGGAAGTTTACCCACCAGCTTCATATACTTGAATTTTCCCCAAAGTTCATACGTTGGTTATTTTGAGGAGGAGGAGATCTCTTTTATATTTAGGAATTTAAAAAAACACTGTGGACTTTCATATGTGATTCTGAGCTTTCGTTTAAAAGGAAACAAAACAAACTTGTTTCCTTTTGCTACTGCCACAAATATTTTTGTTCCTTCGTTTCAGTTCGGAACCCCGGTTCTTCCTACATTTCAGCTTGTCCTTTGAGTTCCTGTGAAAATATTTTGCTATTGTGTGGTTGGTTGTTTCATTTTATTTCTCTTTTTCTGCATATCTTGATTATTTTTTATCTTACATTTAAAATTTTTTAAACTTTCACAGAAAAATCGGGGCACATTTTGCTCACAGTGGCTCTCCAGTCCTTGACCAGATCTGTCCGTCCCGGCGGGTAGGAGGGAGGGGTAGAGGGGCCCCCGGCAGCATCAGAAATTCTTCCTCGAGTGCCAGCTCGTGCTCAGTGCTGTCGGCCCTGAGACGCAGGCCTCTGAGAAGGGCAGCTGGGCTCTGTCCCTCAGGAACTAGCTTGGAACTGACGATATTGTAGCCTTAGATACCAGGAGAGTAACCTTCCATTACTTCACGTGCGCTCGGCCGCACAGGCCAGCGTCACTGTGCCCGTGTGCTTCCTTGTCCACAACAAGCAGCGTGGAGGAGACTGCCGCCTTCCTCCCCATCTTCTTCTTTTCTTCTTTCTTCTTTCTGCAGAGTTGGGGTCATTCGTCTTGTTTTCATAGTATTGTCCTTCTTCATTATATTCATTGTTTTGCCCTTATATTCAGAAACTTCAAAAGAAAAAGACCTTCAGATTAGACTCAAGGCTTATGCAGGGCACACATCTCAAGGCCTCTCATGAGACTGCAGTCAAGCTCTCAGCCAGGGCTGCAGGCATGTGAAGGTTCGCCTGGGGCTGGCCTGTCTGCTTCTAAGATTGCTTACGCGGTAGCGGTTGCAGCAGGACTCAGTTTCATGCTGGTTACTTTCCCGCTGCAGGGCCTATCCACAGGGCTGCTCCCAGTGACATGGTGGGATGTATGGAATGTTATGATTCCCTTCGCCTCCCACCCCCAAAGTTCATATGTTCAAAGTATATTGTTGAGGCCTGGCCAGGGAGCTCAGTTGGTTAGAGCATCATCCGGATATGGCTAGTTTGCGGGTTTAAAACCCAAACATACAAGAATCAACCAATGAATGCCTAAATAAGTGGAACAACAAATATCTCTCTCAAAACAAAAAACAAAAAAAAAACTCCACAAACAAAGTTATAGAAAGTGTATTGTTGAAATAGAATCTGCCCTTTTCAATTCTCATCCTCAGAGAAAGCCTCGATTTGGAGCTCGTGTCCATAGCACTGCAATCCCCTCTCTGAAAGCAGACATTGGTTGCTTGTATTTTCACTGCTTTTGTTTTCAGTTGTTTCTCTGTGGCCGCTGGGCTCACAGGCACGCGTTGCTGTGAGCAGCAGAGCTTTCAGAGTGCTCCTCGGCCACGGGGCACTCAGGAAATGCTTAATCTTTCAAACACAGAACCTGTAGTGACCACCCGGGGACCCAACATGACTCGCTCCACTGTGACCACTCCTGAGCTCACCACCGCCAAGATGGTGACGAAGGCCCCCCCGCAAGGTAAAGGCCGGGACCACCCTCGGCCCCGGCTCATCCAGATGAGCCTCTAGATGGGCTCGTTCAGAGGCCAGAGCATCTCGAGGAAGAGCCAGAGAGTGGAGTTAGTTTGGGCTCCTTTGCTGACTCTCTGACATAGCCTGTGTATCTCTGAAGCCTCAGTTTCCCTACCTATAAACAAGGCTGGTAACAGTGCCCACCCACCTCCTGGTAATAGTGGGGATCACATGGGCGAGCTCATGTGAAGAGCCTGAGCTCATGGTGGCTGCTGATCCCAGAGTCCGCCAGGCACACGGGCCCAGGAGTGTGAAGTGTTGTCCAGGCGCATTCACTGCCCTGTTTTCAGGTGTGTGCCCAGCAGGGCCAGGAGTAGGGGGAGGCAGGTAAGGTACTCTTCGAGGCAGCACCTGAGGGGCACCAAGAAACCCAGGACTCAATATTTTAAAAAATCAAATTGCCCAGCTATAGTCTGTGGGGCCAACCACCTGTTGTAAATGAAGTTTGATTGGAGCCAGGGTCCTAGGAAGGCAGGATCATTCAAGGGTAGCGTCAGACCCATCTGGATATTTTGTTCATCATAGGGTATTGGAATTAATTTTGATTTTTAAAAATAACTCATTGCCCAGCCGGTGTGGCTCAGTGGTTGAGTGTTGACCTGTGAACCAGGAGATCATGGTTCAATTCCGGGTCAGGGCACATGCCTGGGTTTTGGGCTCGATCCCTAGTAGGGGGCCTGCAGGAGGCAGCCAATCGATTATCCTCTCTCATCATTGATGTTTCTCTCTCTCCCTCTCCCTTCCTCTTTCTGAAATCAATGAAAATATATATTTTTAAAATAGCATTGCCCTAGCCGGCAGTGCTCAGTGGTTAGAGCATCAGCCCACACACCAAAGGGTTCACACACCAAAGGGTCCCAGGTTCAATTCCCGGTCAAGGGCAAATACCTGGGTTTCGGGTTCCAGCCTTTACCCTGCCTCCCTTCCACTCTCTCTAAAAAGCAATGGAAAAAATATCGTCGGGTGAGGACAAACAAGAAATAATAATATTAAAATACTGCTGAATTACTGAATTGGGGCTGGGGGAGCTTTAATTTTTGTGCTTGCGGCCAGTGACTCCTCACCCTAGCCTGGCCTAAGAGGAGGTCAGAACTGTGCTCTCAGTGAATTGATCAGAGACCCACCAGTTGTGTCTTTGTCCACCAGAGGGCGCCCCGCCTGGCTTTTGAGCAACCGGAAATGGAGCTCCTGGACTTTCCTGGCCAGAAAAAAAGTCACATCAGCACGTTTCAGACATATCTCCCCCCTCAGAGTAGTTGAAGCCTTTGTTCAACCATAAAGGAGATAAAACAGGAACTGCTGTGCTTATGGGATGCCTGGAGCCCTTCTCACTTGGGGTGGGAAGAGGGGGGCGCTGTTTGAAAAGCCCTCTCACGGACAGGCCCATCCAGGGCTCTGGAATTTGGCAAAGGATCCTTTGTAAGGGAAAAACTTCTCAAAAACGCTGCTGCTGCCCTAGATTATTGTTGCTTCAAAGCTTCTTACATACGTGCAAATGCAGTACTGGGTATAAACTTCGCATACACATGTCCAACAGCCGGTAGAATTCAAACCCAGATGGATTTGAACACAGTGGTAACCACAGCTCACCGGCATACTGTGGTCCCGGATGTGGCTTCTTTAATCTTCCCAGCCCTTTTTTCTCTTTAGAGACCTCTACAATTTTTAAAAAGGTATATTTTTATTGATTTCAAAGAGAAAAGGAGAAGGAGAGAGAAATAGAAACATCAACCATGAGAATCACTGATTGGCTGCCTCCCGCATGCTCCCCCACTGGGGACTGAGCCCACAACCAGGCATGTGCCCTGACCAGGACCTCCTGGTTCATAGGTCGATGCTCAACCACTGAGCCACTCCGGCTGGGCATACAGACCTTCCATTTTCATTTGCATGGAGCCCTTTGTTGTCTGGCTCAGGTGCATTTGCATGTGAGTGGTTATATAATGAGGTGTCTTCCCCGCCCCGATATATTTTATTAGCTGGGGACAGTTGACACAGGACTATGGGGTTTGGTGCCATCCAACCCAGGCTGTGGAATTGGTGAACTCGTGCAGCAAAGGCTCATTACCACCAAATGCAGAGCCAGGTTGAACATTTCACCGGGGACCATTGGGAATATAACCGCAGGCCCTGCCTCGCAGCCCGCCGGTCCCTTCCCCGGTGCCTCTCAACGCTGGGCTAGCGGACCTTTGATATTCATACCACACTGAGTCCCACAACTCCAATTGCTAACAAATAAGGCCCAGGCACAAGCTGCCCTTGAAACCTGGGAAGTTCTCCAAGTTCCTCGAAACCGTTACGGACAACGGGAGGCGGCAGGTGCTCCCTTTGGGTGTCACTCCTCCACACCGGCTGGTTCCCAGGCCCCGCCTGAGGGTCTGAGCCTCACTCTCCCCTTTCCGCCTGCAGCCTCGGAGGACATTCCCATCAAAGAGGACAAGACGGAGAGGCCCCGGGGCGTGGGCTGGCTCTACATTGTCCTCCCCATCGGTAAGCCCACCACCGGCCCCCCCTCGGTTCCCTGGCCTCCCTTTTCTCTCAGGAATGGGGTGTCCCCGCCATGTGTCCTGTCATCACTGCACTCCCCTTCCTAGCTTCATTCATTAACAAATCTAGTTGAGCGCCTACTGTGTACCGTGCCCGCTTCTGGGGACACAGCTGTAAAAGAAATAAACACCTCGCCCCGTGAGCGCCGACAGCGACGTTCAGATGGGGAGATGAGCCCGAGGTCCCCGGGGCGCAATGATGGGCGCTGACACCAGGGAAGGCGAGAGCAGTTCTCTTGCAGGGGCGAGTGTGCAGAGCGCAGGGCCCCTTCCTCAGCCTGTCAATCAGAGCTCGGTGAGCGTCACCCCTTCTTCCTTTTGAGGCGTCCCTTCAGCATGCAGCCTGCCCACAGACACTTCCATTTTGGTGCCAACAGTCGTCCAACTGTGGGTTGACAGACATGGCAAGTGGGACCCTCACCCCCTGGTGGCCCCGAGTGTGTGCCTGCCCTGCGTCTTCCCAGCAGAGCTCACGTCTCTCCCACCCGCTGGGCCCTGGCTAGGCTGTTTCACAAACTGGGCTGTGCAAGCCCTTGGCTGTGCCCTGGGTCTAAAAAAGTAGCAGCCCCCTGTGTGGGCAAATCCAGAAGAAACCCGAAGAATCCACCCCAGTTGAGCATTTCTGGGGTCAGGCGGTCGCAGAGGTCTTCCAGTGAGAGGTTGGTTATGCTCGCCAATCGCATTTTTACAATGGGCAGTATTTCTTTAAATCAGAACAAAACCGTTCACAAATAAAAAGGCTGGGGTTTGAAGGAGCGTCACCGGCCACTTGGGGCAGCAGGGGGGCCCGGGCAGGGGTGACGCCAGGCCGCCTCTCCACAGTGCTGCTCACCCTCCTGTGCTTCGGGGCCTTCCTCCTCTGGAAGAACTGGCGGCTGAAGAGCATCAACAGCATCAACTTTGACAACCCCGTGTACCAGAAGACCACGGAGGACGAGGTGCACATCTGCCACAGCCAGGACGGCTACACCTACCCCTCGGTGAGCGCCCCAAAGCCATCCGCACGGTGGGGAACAGGAAGGGGGTAAGGAGAGACCCTAAGTCATGGCAGTGAGCAGAGGGCAGCCACGGGCGCTGGGAGAGAGGGGAGGCACGTTCAGAAGAGGTGGTTTGGGCGGGCCTCCCTAAGCAGGAAGTGCATGGTGTGCAGCGGGCGCAGCATGTGCAAAGGCCCTGAGGCTGGACCGAGCCTGGTGTGTCTGAGCCCTACGGCCACACCGCGGAGAGAGCGGGAACGAGGGAGGAGACAAGGGCAATGAGGGGGCCTGGCGGATGGAGCAGGACCTGTGGCCCATGGGGAGGCCTCGGGCTTTGCTCAAAGTGAGGAAGGAGCTATGGAGGGCTCTGGGAAGAAGAGGGACATGGCCTGACTTGGGGGCTCACCAGCACCCCCTGGTGGTGGCTGCTGCGGCAGGACAGGCTGGGGAAGGGTGAGGGCAGAATCTGACTCGGGTGCTCACAGGCGCCCTCTGGCTGCCGTGGGGGAAACAGACTGGGGTAGAGGTCAGTGGCCAGGAGGCCGGGGCGGAAGTGATTGTGCTGGTCCAGGCCGGTGATGAGGAGCAGGTGGCCTCTGGCCGTGTTTACTGGATGTTGGACTGATTATTTCCGGCGTTTATCGTTTTGTTGACAGAGACAGATGGTCAGGATGGAGGATGACATGGCATAAGCCGCTGCCTCCAGTCCTGCCTCTCCCAGAACCTGCTGCTGGTCAAGGGCAGGAAGAACACTTTCTCCCCAAACCCTTGACCTTTCCAAAACCCTTCTTCAGACCTCCGGCACCCGCCCGTTCCGTTCAGAGAAAGAAGCGGCCAAAGCCCTGCTGGCAGCTGCCCCCGACGCTGGCAGCCACGGGCCTGTCTGCCAGAGCTTTGTTTTATATATTTATTCGTCTGGGAGGCAGGCGACAGAGCACACGGAATGGGTTTGGGTTGAAATATTTTTCTTGACCTTTTCTCCTCGATTGGCTCCTCACCTGAGGAACGAACGGACAGAGGGACACCAAGCAAGAGAAAGCAAGCGGCTTTGAATCGAGAGCAGGTGATGCCCACAGGGTCCCAGGCAGCTGCCAAGCCTTAACCTCAGGAGTAAATGTGTTTACCTCTGCCTCGCCAGCCTCGGTGGACGCCAGAGTCGGCTTCTGCTCTGCCTCCCCCGTCCCCCCACCCCCATCAGGATGAAATCCGTTTCCTACGCCGAGTCTGTGCCCTCTCCTTCAGCCGGAAAGGGACTCTGGCGCTGGCGTGGACATGGCGGAATCCAGCACACCGGGGCGGCCAACGGAGCCCATTCATTCAACAAAACCACAACAGTCCCCCAGGGAAAGCCTGAGCACCCTTTGCCCTTAATATTTATCGAGTGCCCGCGATCCCCGGGCACCTTGTGTGTGAGGATAAGTGCCCTCCGACCTCTAGCAGTGTCCTTCAGCCCAGCCGTGCCCCCGCCCCAGCCCCTCCACGTGCCCGTGCACTTTTCCCATTCAGGTTTGTACATCTGTAAAGACTACAATTCCTTATTTTGCACTGTTTTCTGGTCCGACGAGGATGGGCTCCCAGGTCGGAGAGGACCCGGGAGCGGGGAGGGGATGCGGTGCCGTCTTGTGGCCTTTCTCCCAGCGCTTCAAAGCCGAGAGGTGATCAACTGGCCAATGTTCCCACCTCTATGCACCTGTCCCTGAGCCATTCCCCTCCCCGACAGGACAGTAGTCACGGATGGGTGTTCCAGCCCTGAGACGGGGGGAGGGGGTCATCATATGGGGCTTATGAAACAAGAGTGCTTTCTGAGATGGTCACACACGTATTTACAACGGAAGAGACGGTGGGAGGGGCCGCCCTGGCTTCCCCGTCAGTTGTGCACTACAGACCCCAGCCCTGTGCCCAGCCGGCAGGAAACTGTGAACAGTGTTTCTCGCTCTGAAGCCTGTAAATAGAGCCCTGAACCTAGGAGCGGGGCATTTCATTTTGCACTTTGTACATTTGTTGGAGCATTTATCACTCACATATATGAAAACAGACCTATTTATTTTTGCAAACCCTGGGTGCTGCGTTGTTGGGTGACCCCTCAGGGACCTGCATGGGGGAGAGGCCTCGTCCTTCTGTACAGCTGACCCCGCAGCTCGGGTCTGTGCTCTTCAGGGGACCCGTGTCCATGATGCCGCATGGGCTGCTCTGGGGGTGGGTTTTGACTAAAAACCACTGTATAGAATGTTTTTATAGTCTGAGTGTCTTACTTTGATTAAATGTCTTAAATGAACCATTTGGCTAAACCTGATGCACGTTGTCTTCTGTTCCCTCACTTCCTGCCTCTGCTGGCGGGCTGGGCTCCGCAGGGGAAGGGTCTGTGAGGGAGCCTGGCCCTGAGCTCAGGGTGGCTCAGGCTCTGGCGGTGTTGTGCTCAGCCGGGGGGCAGCCTTGCTGGGTGCTCCCCTGCGTTGGGGTTTTGCTAAATCTCCTGCTTGTTCATTCATTCAACAAACATTTATTGGGCACCTACTGTGTGACCAGGCCCTGTTCTAGGCATGTAGAGTAAAAGACAATAAAAGTGACTAAGAGTCTGGCCCTCACGGACGTGACTTTTTAATTTTTAAATATGTTTTTTTTTCCTTCTTTTTTTTTTTTGGAGGGGGCACCCGGATATGAACCGGGGACCTCTTTAAATATGTTTTTTATTGATTTCAGAGGGAGGGATAGAAACATCAATGATGAGAGAGAATCACGATCGGCTGCCTCCTGCATGCCTCCTACTGGGGATCGAACCCGCAACCCAGGCATGTGCCCTGACCAGGAGTCGAACCTGGTTCATGGGTCGATGCCCCACCACCGAGCCACACCGGCCGAGCAAGGACGTGACATTTTAGAAGGGGAAACATAGAATTACTATATTTTAGAAGCATGTTAAACAGGGCAATGGGACAGACAAATACCCGGCAGAGGATTTGGGCTGAATAACTGGCCACGTGAGGATCTGTGGGGAGTCGCTGGGGCTGAGACACGGGCTCCATCGAACACAGCATTTCTGCAGGGCATGTCCCTGCAAACCTTTGGGCCCTCGGGGTGGTTGGTGTGAGGTCCTCTGAAAGGATAAAACAAAAGCTAAGAATGTGACTACATTTACCACCGAGACAGAAAAAAAGTTTGGTGAGTCTACAGAGAACTATTTGGCGAGAGCTTTGGGCGTCTGCTGTGCACACTGCAGTCCATCTCAGTACCCACACCTCCACTCCCGTGCACCCCGGCTTCACGTGCGCCTGGGCCTGTGGCCATTTCAGCATGCCCTGGAGCATGCCCTTGGCCATGGCAGTCAAACCACAAATAGTCCCCGAGTATCAATTGGCTACAGTCAGAGTCCACAGCAGATCCTTGGACAGAAAGAATTCAATATAGAGACTTAAGTATAAAAACAAAGGGGGCAGGCCATGCGGTGCCACCTCACACCCATTAGAATGACTATCATAAAAAACAAAATAAGTGTTGGTGAAGGTGTGGAGAAATCAGAGCCCTTATGCACTGTAGGTGGGACTGTAAAATGGTGCAGGCGCTATGGAAATAGTATGGTGGTTCCTTGGAAAATTAAAAATAGAATTACTGCCCTAACCAGTTTGGTGGATAGAGCATCAGCCCAGAGACTGAAGGGTCCCAGGTTTGATTCAGGTCAAGGGCACATATCTTGGTTGCAGGCTCGGTCCTGGGTTTCTGGTTGGGGCTCGTGTGGGAGTCACCCAATGGCTGTGTCTCTCTCACATCAATGTTTCTCGCTCTGTGTCTCTCCCCCTCCCCTCCACTCTCTCTAAACATCAGTGGAGCCCAGCCCATGTTGCTCAGTGGTTGGGTGTCAGCCTATGAACCAGGTCACGGTTGGATTCCTGGTCAGGTTACATGCCCAGGTTTTGGGCTCAATTCCTAGGGTGGGCGGGGGAGTGCAGGAAGCAGCTGATCAATGATTATCATCACTGATGTTTCTATCTCTCCCTTCTTCTCTGAAATCAATAAAAAATATATTTTAAAAATAAAGAACAATGAAAAAAATATCCTCAGATATATATATACGTATATATATATATATACATAATCCTTGGGTGAGGATTAATAACAACAAAAAGAATTACCATGTGATCCAGCAATTCTACTTCTAAGTATATAGATTCCCAAAGAGTTAAAAGCTGTACACCAACGTCCATAGCAGCGTTATTCACAATAGCCAAGAGGTGGACACAACCCATGTCTATCGATAAATTCATGGATAAAGAAAATGTGCTGTATTCATACAATGGAATAATATTCAGTCTTAAAAAGAACATTCAGACACGTTACAACATGAACCTTGCTCAGTGAAGTGTCAGTCACAAAAGAAAAGACATTGCAGTTCTAGAAGGTTCCTAGAGGAGCCAGATTCAGAGACAGAAAGTAGATGGTGGGTGCCAGCTGCCGAGGGTAAGGGTGGGGAGTGCTCGACGGGGACAGAGGTTCTGTTTGGGAAGCTGAGGACGTTCTGGAGATGGATGGTCAGTGTGAAGGCACCTAATCCCACTGAACTATACACTTAAAAGTGGTAGGGGAGCCCTAGCAGGTTTGGCTCAGTGGATAGAGCATCAGCCTGTGGACTAAGGGCCCCAGGTTTGATTCCAGTCAAGAGCGTATGCCCAGGTTGCGGGCTCGATCCCCGGCAGGAAGCAGCCGATCAATGATTCTCTCTCAGCACTGATGTTTCTATCCCTTTTCCTCTCCCTTTCTGAAATCAATAAAAATATATTTTAAAAGGATAGGCAGGAGGCAGCGGATCGATGTTTCTGACTCTCAATCCCTCTCCCTTTCTCTCTGTGGAAAATCAATAAAATATATTTTTAAAAAAAGAAAAATGGTTAAGGTGATCAATTTTATGTGTATTGGACTGCAATTAAAGATAACTAGTGACGTCCTGGCCAGTGTGCCTCAGTTGATGGGCATCGTCCCGTGCACTGAAGGGTTGCCAGTTCGGTTCAATTCCCAGTGAGGGCGCATGCCTGGGTTTCAGCCTGATCCTTGGTAGGGGCTGTGCAGGAGGCAACCGACTGATGTTCCGTTCTTGCATCAGTGTTTCTCTCTCTCCCCCTCTTCCTTCTTCTCTAAAAATCAATACAAATATTTTTTAAAATAGTGATAATTATTTTTTTAAAAGGGCAACTAGAAATATGCCACCGCAGAGGGAAGGCGTGGCAGGAACGGACCGCGAGGCAGGGGCACGGGGTGGGGAAGAGCCCAGCTGGGTCAGGCCGCCTAGGTGGAGGGATGACCTTGGGCCCATCAGTTTCCCCAATAAAACCGGGGCCACGGCTAACCCACCCCCGTTCTGTGATCTGTGGTTGGAGGTGAAGGCCGGGAGCCGCGGGGACTGCTATCGTTTCTGTCCACAGGGTGGCACTTCCTTCCTTCCTTCCGCGCTTTGTCTTGGGAAGGTTCCAAATGCCTCTGGGGGTGAAAGCTGAACTGGCCAAACAGGAAGCTTCAGGGGCCTGCACTCGGCGGTCAATAATTGGGTGATTGACGGAGCCCATGCTCAGCCATGTGGCAAAGGGGACAATGAACTCGAATGGCCTGCACAGGGGAGTCGGCCAAGCGATGGCCGGAGGACAAGTACCTGGGAGAGGCAGCGGGAGCGAGGTTTCTGGTATCTGGCCTGGCGGCTCCGTTGAAGGAGGGGTCACTATTACCCATCGGGCACCCCGCTGGGCACGGACTACGGAGCTGACTGGGGTTAGAGCTTTGTGACATACAAGGGTGCACGTGTCTGCAGGATGAACTCATCCGCTCCCTGCGGTGACCGGCACCCACTTTACAGATGGGGAAGGGGTGGCTCGGGGTCCCTGGACCGACTCCCCTGGCCTTTCCCCCACCAGCCTGGGACGGTCACCATAGGGGTGACCCCCTTTCTGACTGCAGCCCTCTGGGATGTCACCAGGTACAGCTCAGCCCCCTTGGCTGTCTGGCCAGCCCCCTGGCCTATGGGCTCGGCCCGCACCCAACGTGCTGGTCCTGGAAGGGCAGGGGCGGCAGTCTGGAGTTTGGGGGCTGCCTCCCAATACGGGTGCGGGCTCGACAGCTCTGGTAGGTCGGGGTGGGTCGCAGAGGAAGCTGCTCCCCGAAGCCCGATGTTCTACACGCCCTCTGATGCTGCCGCCCCCAGCCCTGGCATCCCAAACCACAGCTGCCTGTGGTGAGTCAGGCTGGAGCCTGCGGGGCTGGGCCCAGGTCCTCTGGAGGAAGGGGGAGAAGGGGACGGGGGAGAGCTGCCCCCCAGTGCCCTGCCCGGGAGCGGGGTGGGGGAAAGCAGCGCCCTCTCCCCCTGAGATGAGGAGGGAATGAGGCTGAGGCGGGGTGAGCTTGTACAGGTCCTGTCACCCACCCTGGGCCTGGTGTCTCCCCTCCAGGCCGTTCAGCTCCGGTTTCATGCAGCTTCCTGGCCTCAGCCCAGGGGCTTCCTCCTCCCCGAGCCCCGCCCTCCCAGCCCAGCTGTTCCCACTCAGCCTGGCCTCCTCTCCCACGCTGCCTGGGATGGAGGAGGGGGCCTGGGAGTTCAGTGAGACCAGCACCCTGGACTCCGAAATCCTCCCATCTCACCGACTGCAGGCCCAGCGTGATCACGCCTGTGCCCTCGGGTCCGCTCGGCCCTGGCCGCTTTGTGGTGGGCACCAGCCTTCGCACTTGCTGTCCCCTCTGCCGGGATCGCTGGCTCCGCCCTTCTGTCCCCTGGGGGCTCAGGTCTGGGCTCTCAGGACACCTCCTCCCTGGGCCTCCTACAAAGCCCTCGCCCCCCCCCCCCCCACATTCCAACAGCATTTATCAATAACTGAAATGACCTCGGGGTTAAATTCCAGGTCTGGATCCAGTTCAAACCCCAGCTCTGCCAACATCAGCTGCCAACCCTTACCTGTGAGGAACCGTGGGGCCAGCACACAGCACCTGCTCAACCATGATGCCACGGCCTCCACTGGAGCGCGGCTTCCTGAGCGGGGTGCAGGTCACGGATGTGAGCCCACATTTCTAAGTCAGTCGAGGGCCACTGGGGGTGCTGGGACCACCGTGCGGGCGGATCAGTGTGGGCCACACACGGAGGGTCCCAGGGAATCCAAACAACGCTGTCCTGCTGGCTGCCCCCCAGCCGCTGCCGGAGGTGCGGGAGAGGGGTTCGGCCTCAGCACCACCACCTGCCAGCCAGGGGACCGGGCGTGTGCCTATCTGACCAGCAGCCACTGGTCCTGAACAGCTTCACGTACCCGAGCCCAGGCCGCTCCCGTCACCCTTAGGGCTTGACCCAGTGCAGGTGCTCGTCCAGTTCTCACTGGTCTCTGTCTACCCGTGCGACCTGGACACGGCACAGACCCTCAGAGGCCCCTTCTCGTCTGAAAAGTGAAGTGACCCTGGGCCCGCTGTCCTGGCCGGGGCCCTAACTGGCCCGGACCGTGCCGTCTCCCCGTCTGTACCGTGAACCTTCCTCAGGGCTCAGGATGGCCGGGCCCACGCTGGGGGTGGGGTGTGCGCAGGATTAGGAACGGGCGGGGTGTGGGGCTGACCCTCAGCTCTGTAGTCTGGTGACCTGGTTCCCCACTCCCTGGTCCTGGGGACATGAATCTTCCTCCTTCCTCCACAGGCTGGGCCCAGCGCGCAGCGGCCTCTGGCCAGCCTCCAGGATTCAGAAAAGAGCTGCCCGTGGAGAGGCTCCAAGAGTGGGCGGGGGTGGGAGCAGGGGTGCAGGCTGGAGGCTGTGGGCCTGAGCCTATCCTGCTGGCTGTCCCGGGCATCTGGCCAGATCCCGGCAGTGAGTCAGGGCCGAGGCATGTTGGAGGGCCAGGGCCTCTCCCGGCCCCTGTGAGCTCAGCACCTCCCTGAACCCATCCGCCCACAGGGCCCGGCCAGGCCACGCTCCCACACACACTTGCTCACTCCTTTGGGTCAGTCCCTGGAGACGGGGGTTTAGGGGAGGACAGACATGGCCCCTTCCTCCTCTTGGGGGAACCGAGCTGCAGGCAGGCACCGGCCTCCGCGGCCCCTCTGGGAACCCCACACCTTTCTCTCAGGCGCTCTAGGCTCAGGGGGAAATACGCTCTTCTCCTTCCCTGGACTCTCAGCTGGGCTGGGGGCGCTCCTGGCACCTTCCCCGACAAAGGTGAGCAGGTGGGAGGCCAGCTGTGCTAGCAG